GTTTAAGGTAGTCCGATCCTCAGGTTTATAAAATTAGTATATAAGTAATCAAAAATACTCATAAAAGTATCTCTGAATCCACAAAGTTATGTAAATTTATCCACAGTATTTCTTTAAAGTTAAAGATTAAAGTTAATCATATTATATAGGGAAAATTGTCAATATTTTTGCAGAAAAAGCGAATTGGAATATCAGCAACGCATTTTCTAATTGCAAATTGATCAACAAATATATTTTAGGTTAAAAAATAATAGGTATCCAGGCATTCAGAGACATTGTCATGATTTTTATACTTATTTGGTATTTTTTGTCTTCTATTTCTGTCACGTATATATAATACATAGTGTAAAAGGCTTTTGCCACCATTGCAAGACACCACAAATCACTTCTTATTTCATATCATACTAATAAGCATTTGTATCTAAGGCTGGTCTCAAGAAAATCTTATTTCTCTAAAACTGTATTCATTTTTTCCCCTTTTATAGGGTCCAAATGTCAACTTTTATAAGACCTTTTCTGAGACTTCCTAAAACCTTGAATCTTATAAAGATGAATAAAATGAAAATTGTTGCATGAAAAAATTTCATTTTCAAGCTTCATTTCGATGCATTTCAAATTAAATATGAATTTTTGGAGTTATCCTTCCTGGCTGAGGATCAGATATCCTTAAGTTGCAATCATGACTATTGCTGCATTTTTCAAATTTCAATAATCATACTAGAGGTATTGTGAGCAATGAGCTCACTAAATGATACCCCCTACCTCCCATATGGTTATAATGGCAAAGTCCATGATTTGCTGTGGCCGGGAAACCCAAAATATATGTCAGATCAAAAAGTAAAATAGGAGGTGGTGTAAAATGGCAATATGTAATAAAGATTCTGTGAAAGTGTCATTAAATTTCACTCAGTGGTATAAGAGGAGTTGCGGATAAGAGATGGGTACCCCAAAGCATAATAGATAGACGGACATACAGCTGAACGGACAGATGGACATACCGATTACTATATACTATATTACAAAGTAAGCCTATTTATCAAAGATCTTAAGCAGATTTTTAAAGATTTGTTTTCAATGTGAAACTTCGGCTCTGTATTGTGGCCCTACCCTATCCCCGACGACTCTGATCTGAACAATTTATACTAGTTGCTCTATATCAGAAAGCTTCCTAAAAAGTTTCAGCTTTTCTGGCCCTGTAATTCTTCCAAGATATTTTTTTTATTTTATTTTTTTGGTGGAAAATTTTTAAAGATGTTCCTTTGTATTTCAATGCAAAACTTTCTTTTCCTATTGTGGTCATATCCTCTCCATGATTTGAACAATTTAGAACCTTCACTACTTTAGGAAGGCATGTAAGTTTAAGATTTTCTGGCCCAGTGATTCTTGAAAAGGATTTTATAGTTTTTTCCCTATTATTTCAATGAAAAACATTGATTTCCTATTGTAACCCCAGTGAGACTGACTCTATAACCAAGAGCCATGATTTGAACACTTTCTACGGAAGCTTTCAGTTGGTTTCTTAAGAGAAGCGAGATCAACCATGGGTTTCTGACAATGTCCATTTTTAAGCAGAATGTAAAGGTATTAACTATAATAATAACTATGTTGTACCACAAAAATTCTTTTTGATTTTACTGCAGTTTTACACTCAATACACTGAAATGCAACCATGCAGTAACAAATTATTGTTTTACATAATTTAAAACATTTCTGGCAATTTCATTTCAAATACTTCAGAAATCCCTGCCCCAAATCAGTACTTCAAAAATGCAATACTGTACAACACTTTTTGTCAAAAACACCAATAGTGAATACACCAGAATATGGATATTATTGGTAGCCTTACTCATTATGGGTAGCCTTACTTATTATGAATTGTAAAATACATTTTAATTCAAGCATGATCTCTAGATGTTTATTTAACTAACACTGTCAGTATCCAGAAAATAGAGAGCATGTGTACGAATTCTGCTTCACAAAATGGTATCATATTAATGGTTTAATGAATATACATGTATTTCTAATTTGTGGAAAGACTTTCATCAAAACATAATATTTCATGGAAAAGATACCCACATGAAAATAAAAAAAATAACAAAGGTATTAAATCAAAGATAAGAAAGTTCACCTCGACAAATGTTTATTTGTAATAATGGCAAATCTCACCCAAAATTATTACTAGTTGGTTTGTGTCCTGAGCTCAATATTCATGCTAGTTTGGTTTATAGGGGACATAAAGCTACTTTAAAATGGAGCTGCTTGCAAAACTAAAACCTGTTCAGTCATCTTTAATGTAGGTCAGATCCAGAATCAGAAACAAGTCTGGTGCATGGATATGAGACTACATCATCCAAGCAAAGTCAATCATAACAGGCAACATATTTACTCGTACTTAAACTTAACCATGGTCAGTTATCAATCATCTAGAAAAATTTTAGTCCGCATCCAAAGCAAGTGTGGTACTGTCCATCCCTAGATGCATCATTCTTGCACTTGCTAGGAGGACAGAAAAGAAATAAATCTAATGATGTTTTAATAAAAGATTGCTATCTGCAATCAAAAAAAAAAAAATAGATGTAAACTAAATTATGTAAGTATTAGTATGAACTCAATCAACCTTATATTGCTGCATGGCATGCAATGTGACAAAATTTAGACCTACCATGCTTTGTATTTTATTCAATAAGCATCTCTTCAGTTCAAAGAAGCCATCATCTTCATAAAATTACCGATGTGCATATTGATGAATTAATTAATGATAATTGTACAGCCTATAAACAGATAGCAATGGCCCCTTTATCAGATTATTTTCAAAATATAGTATGATACTGTGATATATGTACAATATGTATGAAGTTCTCTCTCTCTTGATAAACTCTCTCAAACTTATGATCATAATCCATTAATACTTAGTAGGTTTTACTAGTAGATTTGCATCTATCAAGTCCATAAATAACTGAACAGACAAACATACAATCAGAAGTAACCAAATGTTTATGTACTTCACATCCAAGGTTTTAAAATATATGTTTTATTATTTGTTTTTTATGATTAATGAATTATGTATTTAAATAAGAGGCGGCCACATCGCTCACCTGAGCACATCGGCTAGGAAAAAGCACAAATCAGATCAGAACTGAAAAGTTTACTAAGGGGGGGGGGGGGGGGCTTGAATTTAATACAACTTTAGAATGCCTTCATATACAGCATATGACTTTGCTGTTCTTGATAAAAGGATTTTTTAAAAACACTTTCTTCCTATACTATCACTAATCATTGCTTTGAAGTACTTGAGAAGACGATTTTCCTATAAATTCCAATGTAAAACTTTGATCGGCCATTGTGGCCCCACCCTACCCCCGGGGGTCATGATTTGTACAAACTTGAATTTACACTATGTGAGGATGCTTCCACATGAGTTTCATCTTTCCTGGCCCAGTGGTTCTTGAGAAGAAGATTTTGAAAGATTTTCCCTATATACTCCTATGTAAAACTTTGATCGGCCATTGTGGCCCCACCTTACCCCCGGGGTCATGATTTGAACAAACTTGAATCTACACTACCTGAGGATGCTTCCACATGAGTTTCATCTTTCCTGGCCCAGTGGTTCTTGAGAAGAAGATTTTGAAAGATTTTCCCTATATACTCCTATGCAAAACTTTGATCGGCCATTGTGGCCCCACCTTACCCCAGGGGGTCATGATTTTAACAAACTTGAATCTTCACTACCTGAGTATGCTTCCATATAAATATGATGAATTATGGCTTTGTCATTCTTGAGAAGAAGATTTTTAAAGAATTTTCCAATATATTTCTATGTAAAACTTTGGTCGGCCATTTTGGCCCCGCCCTACCCCCGGGGGTCATGATTTGAACAAACTTGAATCTACACTACCTGAGCACGCTTCCATATAAATATGATGAATTATGGCTTTGTCATTCTTGAGAAGAAGATTTTTAAAGAAATTTCCTATATATTTTTATGTAAAACTTTGGTCGGCCATTTTGGCCCCGCCCTACCCCCGGGGGTCATGATTTGAACAAATTTGAATCTACACTACCTGAGCATGCTTCCATATAAATATGATGAATTATGGCTTTGTCATTCTTGAGTAGAAGATTTTTAAAGAATTTTCCTATATATTTCTATGTAAAATTTTGGTCGGCCATTTTGGCCCCGCCCTACCCCTGGGGGTCATGATTTGAACAAACTTGAATCTACACTACCTGAGCACGCTTCCATATAAATATGATGAATTATGGCTTTGTCATTCTTGAGAAGAAGATTTTTAAAGAAATTTCCTATATATTTCTATGTAAAATTTTGGTCGGCCATTTTGGCCCCGTCCTACCCCCGGGGGTCATGATTTGAACAAACTTGAATCTACACTACCTGAGCATGCTTCCATATAAATATGATGAATTATGGCTTTGTCATTCTTGAGAAGAAGATTTTAAAAGAATTTTCCTATATATTTCTATGTAAAACTTTGGTCGGCCATTTTGGCACCGCCCTATCCCTGGGGGTCATGATTTGAACAAACTTGAATCTACACTACCTGAGGATATTTCTCCATAAGTTTCATCTTTCCTGGCACAGTGGTTCTTGAGAAGAAGATTTTTAAAATATGCCACCAAATTTTCATTTATTCCCAATTATCTCCCCTTGAATGAGGGCGTGGCCCTTCATTTGAACAAAATTAAATCCCCTTCACCCAAGGATACTTTGTGGCAAGTTTGGTTGAAATTGGCCAAGCGGTTCTTGAGAAGAAGTCGAAAATGTGAAAACTGAAAAGTTTACAGACAGACGGACAGACAGACGGGCAGACAGACGGACGCCGGACAAAATGTGATCAGAAAAGCTCACTTGAGCTTTCAGCTCAGGTGAGCTAATAATGGGTTCAGCAATTGAGGATCATCTTCTTTAATTTTTCAGTCTTGGTACATCATTAGCTGACATTGATACTGTGACATTGTTATGTATCTCTAACAAAACAAACCTGTGATTGTCCGACACTGGGTTTCTCATTGTTGCTCAGTTTGTGTCGGATTCTGGCTCTACCCCTCCCCACCTTCCTGGAGGTTGGGTCATCTGTTGCTCTTAATTTTTCAAAGTACTTCTGCCAAAAAAAAAGGCCTGAATTAAAATTATCTGTAGATCTACGTGAAAGTTTATTGATTAAGAAAAAACAAGAGGCCCATGAGTCACATCGCTCACCTAAGTAAATTTGGCCATGCTGTTCTTTAACACTAGATTTCCCCCTTGTAATACCTATTCTAACTCCACATTACCAGTTACCCCCAGGCCTGAGGGGGTCATGATTTGAACAATTTAGAATCTACACTAACCCATGATGCTTCCACACAATTAAGTTTCAGCTTTTCTGCCCCAGTGGCTCTTGAGAAGAAGATTATAAAAGATTTTTCCTAGATATATTTCAATGTAAAACTTGGATTTCTTTTTGTGGCCCAGCCCTATTCCTGTGGTACGTTTTTATACCGTTTTTATGACCAATGTACAGTATTTTCACCGAAAAAAGACTCCAGCACAGTATTTGATCTAAAACTTATCACATGTATGAAGTTGCCGTTGGTAATGTGTACCTGCTTCTCAATATGTAAATGTAGTTGGGGTACACGAGGAACATCCACCTCACTCAGTTTTTTCCCACGTCCGTAGCATGTGCAGGTCAGAAACCCTTCTTCTTCCTCTTCATCATCCACTTCACTCCCAAAGGGAACAATCTCCTCAAAGAAATCGGGGTCATCCAAGTTCCATCTTGACATGGTGTAGTCAAAACTGTACCAAAAATTGGCCTATAAAAGAAAATAATTGTTAACCTGGACAAGTATTTCAAAACAGTAAATAACACTTCTCTGTGAGCAGGTCCAGCACAATACAATAAAAATCAAATACTGAAAGTGGAGTTCTGAGCTTTTGTCAGTGTGTCTACTCGTGCATGAAAAACACTCTGGTATCAAAAAGAAAATAAAATAATGTCTCCTCACACGACATGTTTTTCTACTTATTTCATTGTGTTTGAGTACTTTACATGCATGGGTGAATTTACTGACAACAACTCAAAACTCGACTTTCAATAATTAATTTTTAAAGAATTTTTTTGAATTTTCATTACATAAAATACCTTGATCAAGGTATTTTAAATATGCTTTATCAAGCTATATATCTTTTAAATATAGGGGTATTGTGCTGGACCTGATGAGTATACATATGTTCAGTCTTTAAAAATTTGAACAAAGCACTGTTTCACTTTGAAATATAACCATGCACCCAACCTTCGGACTGAGACAATATGACATCAAACACTGTCAACAGGGACCTATATACTATAGTCTATAGTATATACTTAGTATATAGGTCCCTGCTGTCAAACAATATCTGATTCACTGAATATGGATTGAGCGTTAAAAAGTTAATGGAGAGGGGTGGGATTTTCATGATTTTAGTATTTCATTAAAATGTTCAACTTATTGGTAAATTCACTGGCCCCGAGATTAAAAGATGTTTTTGACTAACCACAACTGCTCCTCAGCAATAGAGAAATGATCTATTCTTCAGCATCCTATACCATGCGAATGAATGAATAAACTCATTGAATGATAACTCAAGAAAAGTGCCAAATGATTTGCATTTTTTTAACCAATCAAATTAAAATAATGTTTAAACTGGTTTCCTATGAAGCCGAGAACCAGTCTTTATTTCGGAAGCTCTCTGATTTTTCCGCCAAAGTAATGGCAACTCCATCAACAAGACAAATCACAAGAGCACCAGACAAAGGCATTTTTCCTTTGGACCATGAAGGTAATGGAGTTTGTAATAATGTTAACTTAATGTTCCCCAACTTAAATTTTTTAAATACACTAACAAAGAAAGTGTGATATGTTTACCGTCCCGTCATGTATTGTTTGGACTTTAATTTGAGGAAATTCGAACTGTAAATAGAAACTGTGTAAAATTTTTCTAAGCCATTACCAGATTACCTGATTACAGAGATACAATGATATCGCTTTTTGAAAGGGAGGAACTGACAACTTATGATCTGAAAAATATTTGACAAGCAAAAATAGGGGTGACTCGAAAATCCTATGTTAGTGTTTTATGGAGCAGGCAAGCGGTAAATCTAGTCTTCCCGATTCCCGACGGCCCGGGATTTTGGATTTTTTGCGATTTCTTTTCTAACGGTGCACAGGATTTATTCAAACTTTTAAAACTTTAGAAAAAATGTGTGGTAAAGTTTCAGACGTTTTACATAAATATGTTTCACCATGTTCATATAACATGTATAATGTCTTCTTCTTCTTCTTCTTCCCATCCAGTGCAAAACCACTAAAGTATTCTCGGTAACGGGCTCGTTCGCCCGATCTACCTGTTCGCGGGAGTCCGTTCGCGCAGAGTCCGTTCGCCCGAAATATTTTTCGTCCAATATCTTGTTCACCCTATATGTGGTTCGCCCAATACTTATATAATATACTTGTATATATAAATAAACTCATATGAAGTAAAAAATAACATATATCATTTTTTTCTATTTATTTCCTTTACGAACTTGGGATATTTTTTCTCAAATTCTGATACGAGGAACAATGAATATTTAGTCTTAATCAATTTTTAATGTCAGACTTAGTGTTTGCACTATAAATACATAATTAGATGATTAATATGATTAATGTCAAAGTTAATTAGGGGGATACATCCGTGTTATTTTTACGTTTTGAAAACAAAGGACTGAGATGTTAATAGGTCCATTATAGAACTGAACAGCGGATGTTGAAGGTTTTACCTTTAAAGAATCTCCCTTTGATCTCAAAAAATAATTTATTTAGAAAGAAATTCATTAGATTTTATTCTACATTAAATGAAGGCGAACGGACCCTGTGCGAACAAGTTTTAAGGCAAGCGGACTCTGGGCAAACGGGAAATTGGGCGAACGGGAAATCGGGCGAACAATTTGTAGGGCGAACGAACATGGAACCAGTATTCTCACTCTCTGCGTGAGGAGGTGAGTGTCTATATACAGTACTCATAAAATTAAAAGTTAAAAAGATTAAAAGCGCAGAGATGTAATGTATAGTGGCTGGCACTGGACAGCTGAGTCTTAAAGCTGTCCAGGTTCTTGGCCTCCACCATTCCTCCTGGTAAGGAATTCCACAACTGGATGGCTTGAGGGAAGAAGGAGGTCTTATACACTTCTGTTCTTGTATGTGGTACCAGGAATCATAGGATGTGGCCTCTGGTCCTCTGGTCCTCAACGATGCTGGGTGTAGGTAGCTCTATGTCTATTTCTCAACTAAATTTCGTGATGGGGGGAGGGGCTTGAATCTTTGAATGGACATTTTCAAGGATTAAAGGATATGTTTTTAACAATGTCGAAAAAGTTGTAACCAAACAAAATTTGTAAAAAGTAGTGAACAATTTTCTGTAGTAAGACTTTTACTCTGACAGCAGCCAAGGTGTCTCCAAACTTTGGTTGTCCTCAGTATTTGGCCACCAGCAACTGAACCTACCTGACCACCACATTTCTTTCTACTAAATTAGTAAATAAAATCCACCACAGAGACACTAATCCAGGCTCTTCCTTGGCAGGTCTCACATCTCATCCATTAATTCAGTAGTTCTTCTCCATGACCACATAGGAATACAAGTAATAAGACCTGGAATGATTAAAGTCAAATATCATTTATTATACTTGAAAATGGGACTATCAAAAGTTGTAGGGAAATATTTTTAAAGGTAAGGGTAAGAATATTTTTCTTCAAAATTTTTCAGGTTTATGCAAACAAGAAATGAGACAGTACATGAAGTGCCTAATGTCTAATAACAGGGAAAATGCAAAATGCAGATCAGAGGCCAAGTCATATCTTCAATGTAGAATGGATAAGTAAGTTTTACAGCTTATACCTTTAAAGACAATTTTAGTCTAAATATATTTTCTAAAATTCAAAAGAAATGTGTATATGAATGATGAAAGTATACTTGTTAAAAACTGAAACAGAGTTTTTTAATTCCCAAATTTTCCTTTTATTTCTTCAGTGATTTGATGCAGAAAGAGGACTGGAAAAATTTAGGATTTCATGAAGAAGATAATGAGAAAAATCCAACTTGATGACATTCAGTAAATTTGTACATCATCTAAATAGGTTTCTGTGATAGTAGGTCAATGTGAGATATATATGTATAAGATACCCATATTTTATGGATAGAAACATGTCATATTTTTAGTCTCTGTATGGACTATTTCACATCAAATGATTCAAAATAAAATTTATAATTGTTTGTTTTATGGTACAATGTATAATTTTCTGACATTGTGACTTGGTCCACAAAGTAGGAAATAGACACATATATACACCAATTAATGCACCCTCTCATGCAGAAAGAGAGATCAGATAGAAAGGAGAGAGACTTTTGGAGACTTTGAGATACATGTAATATTGGTTGAAACTAACATGATATACTTTAAAACTAGGATACTATAAAGCAGAGCATTTATGATTACCTACAAATTTTATTTTTTGGAAAAACAGTCTCTTTAAGATTGAATCAATATTGCACTGATATTGTTATGTGACAGTGTATTATTCATTTTCCTCCCAAAGACTGCCTAACCTCTTTTTAGCAAATACAACCTTAAAGGATCACCTGTGGCATAGTGTTTAGAGGAGGTCTTAAATTTTTATGAAGTTGTTAAAAAAGTTTGAAATTCCCTGCCTTATGTGGAGAATAGTGGAGGAAAGTCCTTAAAATGAGAAGCCTATTGCTCAGTTAACAGATCTCCCATTGCAAAGTCATGAGTAGAGGTTTAGTATTTCAGCCTTTCACTGGGCTTTTCTGTAGTTGTAAGCTAAAAGGCCAACGATTCCTCTTGTATCCACAAACTTGTCAAGATCCATAATATCTTTAATCTCGCATACCCGTAGCAAAGTGCGTGTGAGGAGGGAGTCGGAACAGGAAGAGAAACCTCCGGAACATTTTAACAAGCAAGAAACAAAATTTCATATTTGAAAATGTGAGGGGTGAGGGGATACTCGGTTGGATTACGGTAATCTACATGAGCATCACTGTATATTCAATTTCCTAGCAAAATATGCCTATCATTTGTTTCATTGCTTTTATTCATGTCTGTATGCAAGTTTTAGTTAAACTTCCACATTGTATTAGTCGAGTTTCCACCCAGCAAACGTAGTTCTTGCATGCCAGTCAATACTGGGTACGTAGGTAGTACAAGCCATGATTGACCGAATGTAGACATCGTCGTGCTGGTTTAAGGACACTACGATAGTCCCTGTCTCAGAATCGTAATCTCGACTATTACCGTCCGTCTCCCCAAAGCAGCTACTGACTATGTCGTCATTGACATAGATGGCGAATGCAGTTTTACCATGCTCACCGGTATAGATAGTCCACGTAAAGACATACAGCCCAGCCGCGGGGGCCGAGAACATGCCGCTGTGTCTGTTGTAACCTCCACCCAGATTTGTTGTGATGATGTCGAAGATGAGCATGTGATGGTTACTTGGATTATGCTCTGATTTTGACATATAGGCAAAGAATGCAATCGGAGTTCCAGTGCCAATTGCCCTTTTTCCTTTGCTCATAGATATCTTTCCTGGTGATTCTGAAAATAAAAGTCACACCAAGTTGAATGGACTAACAAATTGTCTAGACACTAAGGAATCTTTGCCATCAACTTAATTACGTGTCCAAATTATACCAATGATTTCTCATTGTCTACATACGTTACAAACCTTTCAAATTTCTCATACTATAATATATTAATAAAATTTGCATTACTATAGTTTAGTAAAATGGTATCTTATACTACACGTACATGTACATACTTTGTTAACTTTTTAAAATTGCTTATTTAAAGCTTTAAAAGAGATTACCGCTCATTTCAATCTGTCCAGATCCTGAAGAGGGGATTTTTTCTTCATTTTCCTCAGCTTTATTCTTCGTCGAAGTGGACGGAAACGTCTGTAGGTCATCAACTTCATTCCGTAAGGCTTGGTTCTCAAGTCGTAATTCCCGGATCGCGCGCTCCTGACGGACTATAATGGTTCTCAATGCTTGATTGTCAATTCGTATGTCGCGAATCTCTTGCTCTTGTCGCATCAGAATGCTCCGTATCTCACGAAATTCATTTTCGATGTTAGTGTCTGCAACACTTGCTGACAAAAACACTGACAAAGGAAATAACAAGTATAAAATGATCTTATTCATTTTCACCACGAACAATGTGTAATTGTACTAATTTTGGGAATGTTAGATAAGAAACAATAGATGACAGGTCAATGAACTATTTATCTAATAAATAGCCAATACGCAATAAGTAATTTAGGTCTATAAAAAAAAATATTGTTTCCTTCTTTCCAAGCGAAATAATTATCTATTTTTTGTGGCAAATAACAATAATTGTTTTAAGTCAAGATTATGGAATTTTGAAACAGTTTTTAGATTCAAAGAAAACATGTTTACTTTTAAAACAGAAAATGTTTGAAATTACAGAAAATTGAAGATACTCTTATATAGACCATTTTTGTTGTATAAGTATTTGAAGACTCCCTGTTCCCCTTTTCCCCTTATCTGTAATATGCAAAGTACACATGTATGCATAGAAACAGGTAGTGTCGTTTACTCGACAGTTAAATGAATGTCCTTATAACTAGAAGCTATAATTATAATCAGAGTAGAACGAGTTCTGAAGATAATTAAAGCTTTTTTAAGTATTTCATTGAAGTATGGAATATGTGAAGATATTGAACAGTATTCGAGCTCAAAAGTCCATTAAACTATTTTGATAGGAGCAGAGCAAAACGTACCGCCAAAACATCAGAAGTGGGATCATGTGCAATGGAGCTGTGAGCTCCTCCTGCCGACCGGTCACACCCGCCGTGTGCTCCTTGTCATGTTCGGTAGAAATACTGGGAAAATCCGCGGACACCTCAGTGTGCAAATAATGGCCCAACAATCAGTATGAAAAAAAGTCAGACAGCATTTGACTTAATGAAAAATTGTATTTGCTGACAAGGTCATTGTACCAACCACAGAATTAACTACTAAAGGAAATGATGACTTAAAACAAGACCACTCATATTCTTGCATCATCAACTTGTTTTTCAATAACTTACCTCGTTTAAGAAATTGTTCACACGTAGAATATGTTCTTCCGTATCGAATCAACTGAGAGATATGAACTCCGTATGCAGGTGATGAACGTATACTGCTGCGCATAAGTAGAAGTTGACGATTGAAAAGTTAAATTCATCACGTTTATAATAATATTTTTTTGTTAGGTGACTATTAACGTATTTTCTATTAAAATATCCAAATATGAAACAAGTTAATTCAGACTCTGGTATCTTTTATTTCAAGTCACTGGAAATTTCGTGTCGACATATGAATGGAAGTACCTTTTGTTAATTAATTGATAATCCGTCGTCATTATCGTAATGTCGAGTTGAAGGCCACAGCAATTAATTTTTTTCTGATATAAGACAAGACAAGACTTTATTCTCATAACTGTGCAAAACAGTATAGAGAGGATATTACATAAAATATTTACAACTAGTGCTAATTGTAACGGGGACCGTTACAGATGTTCCCCAAACGCTCCCCAACTCCCTTTTGGTGCCATATTCCCTGTAATCTCTATTAAATAAGAAATACTTTATGGAATTTAGACCTAATCAAGGTCTTCCCAGAAAAATACAAAATATATTTAAAAATAGGCATTGCACGCGTGTTCATGTGCATAACGACCATATTATCTTGTCTACGCTATCTAAAATTTTAATATACTTAATATCAAAGCATTTAATCCAAAAGTATTAAAAAATACACTCATTCGAGTGTATTTTTTATTTTACTCATTTCACGTGCACGTACGTGCAAGCACGTGCATAATTACTACACCTTCTTGTAGGAGTCCCTTATATTTATCTATGTTCTAAATCCTATCCGGTTTGGTTGAAAAACAAGGGAGTTATAGCCATTTGAAGTTTCAGCCAATCAGATTGCAGCACACATGCATGCGCGTGATTTCATATATTTTTATCTTTATCGTATTGAAGGATATCTAAATGAATGACTATATTTTAAAATTCCAAACATTTCGTCAAAAATCAAAGGAGATATAGCCATATAAAGTTTCAGCCAACCAGATTGCAGCACACGTGCATGCGCGTGATTTCATGAATTTTTTTTTCTATATCATATTTTAGGATATCCTAATGCATGACTATGTTTTAAATTGCAAAGCATTTCGTCAAAAAACAAAGGAGATATAGCCATTTAAAATTTCAGCCAATCAGATTGCAGCCCGCGCGCATGCGCATGCTTTCATGAAATTTTTTTTTATATCAAGCTGTAGATCTTCATAATGTAGGACTATGTTCAAAATTTCAAAAGATTATGACAAGAAACAAGAAAGATATTGAGACTTTAGTTTCAGCCAATCAGAGCGAAGCGCACGTGCATGCGCGTGAGATATTGCTATTTTTACCATGCAATCTTGTCTATACTACTAATGTATCCTTCCATTATGAGTTTCAAAAAAAATCATCTAAAAAAAGAAAAGTTACAGCAATATCCATTATATTGGTCATTTCACGTGTTGCACGTGCACGCTCTTGCAAGCACGTGCACGCAAAATGACCTTTGTTCGGCAAATCTACATAACATGTCTACTGACCCTAAAAACATTTTACCTTAGTCGGATGTGTAGTTTACAAGATCACTCGTGGACAAAATTTTCCCAGGAAGAAGAAAAATAATAATAATAATAACTAGTGCTAATTGTAACGGGGACCGTTACAGATGTTCCCCAAACGCTCCCCAACTCCCTTTTGGTGCCATATTCCCTGTAATGTCTATTAAATAAGAAATACTTTATGGAATTTAGACTTAATCAAGGTCTTCCCAGAAGAATACAAAATATATTTAAATTTATGCATTGCGCGCGTGTTCATGTGCGTAACGACCATATAATCTTGTCTACACTATATATATATATATATTTATATACTTAATATCAAAGCATTTATTCCAAAAGTATTAAAAATTGCTCTCACTCAAGTGTATTTTTAATTTAACTCATTTCACGTGCACGCACGTGCGAACACGTGCATGATGAATAACCTTCTTGTAGGAGTCCCTTATATTTATCTATGTTTTAAATCCCATCCTGTTTGGTTGAAAAACAAGGGAGTTATAGCCATTTGAAGTTTCAGCCAATCAGATTGCAGCACACATGCATGCACGTGATTTCATGAATTTTTATCTTTATCATATTAAAGGTTATCTTAATGAATGACTATATTTCAAAATTCCAAACATTTCGTCTAAAATCAAAGGAGATATAGCCATTTAAAGTTTCAGCCAATCAGATTGCAGCACACGTGCATGCGCGTGATTTCATGAATTTTTTTCTATAACATATTGTAGGATATCCTAATGCATGACTATGTTAAATTTTAAAGCATTTCATCCAAAAACAACGGAGATATAGTCATTTAAGGTTTCAGCCAATCAGATTGCAGCACGCGCGCATGCGCATTCTTTCATGAAAATTTTTATATATCATGCTGTAGATCTTCATAATGTAGGACTATATTCAAAATTTCAAATGATTATGACAAGAAACAAGAAAGATATTGAGACTTTAGTTTCAGCCAATCAGAGCTAAGCGCACGTGCATGCGCGTGAGATCTTGCTATTTTGACCATGCCATCTTGTCTATACTACTAATATATCCTTACATTATGAGTTTCAAAACATTTCATCAAAAAATAGAAAAGTTACGGCAATATACATTATATTGGTCATTTCACCGTGTTGCACGTGCGCGCTCTTGCAAGCACGTGTGTGCAAAATGACCTTCATTGGGCAAATCTACATAACATGTCTACTGACCCTAAAAACATTTTACCTTAGTCCAATGTGTAGTTTACAAGATCACTCGTGGACAAAATTTTCCCAGGAAGAAGAAAAATAATAATAACTAGATGCGATCTCGTTGCAAGCAACGAGTAGGTCTTCCGTCTGATATCTGATGGAATAAGACCTGTGTTGGGATGATTCCACTGATAGGATAAGAAAAGTCAGAAAGGCACAAGAATTCTTCAAAATATGTTTAGAAACACAAATAAAATGTAGGATCTATCAATTCCAATCAACTTCCGGTTCTACTTCCTCACTTCCGGTGCGACTGTATGTGCTCAAAACTACTTTCAACTCTACATCAAGTAAGCAGTAATCATACCTGAAAGTTTCGATGGAAAATACTTATTTTTAGACAACTTCCGGTTTGAACGAACCGCACTTCCGGTGGATATATTAAGATGCTACGCATTCTTTAAATCTCTACAATGAACAATTACATTCATTAGAAAATGAAAAAAATCGCTATACATGTACATGTATTTAAATTTCATGTATTTCCGGTTTACACCGGAAGTGTTGACGGAAAAAATGAACAAATTAAAAGTATGCATATTGTAAGGAACATTATTTTGACCATCTTTTGTTCAATATTGCTTATCAAAATATTCACGCTTTTCGAGATATAAAGCGTCAAAGATATAGCATTCTAACCCCCTGTGACCCTTTATTACGTAACATATGATCAAATTTTTAGTATACATTGTTGCAAATTGTTAAGTTGAATATCTTTGCTTCAGTAATGTATCACAAAATATTGATCATTAAAGAGTTAAAGACGAGAGACTTTTGGACCTTCTATGCCCCTAATTTGAAGGGCTATTCCCATTTTCTTGATATTAAATGAAAGGTCTTACTATATTGCACATTTTTTATTATATATGTTTTAACAAAATATTAACCAGTAAAAAGATATATAAGAAAACGTATCAATTTTTGCAAGATGCGTATGAGCCTTTTTTTCGAGCCCAGGCGAGCGTCGATGCCTTTTTACCTGGAAAGCTCTATATGCAAAATGTCACATCTACTATCCTTCCTCTACCTTCACTGAAAATCTCAAGTCGATATCTTCAGTCGTTTAGGAGGAGATCTCAGGACAAGCTGACCCTCTAAAAATCAGAAAATCGTCCATATCTCACGACCGGAAGTGACGTCATCAACGTCGAAAATTTCCGACAAGGTTCAGATAAATATCTATCAGATCTGAAAGTTTGGTGAAAATCGGGCGAGCCGTTTCCGAGAAATCGCGTGCACAAAATCGGTAAGAAAAATAATAATAATAATAATAATAGAGAAAAAGAA